CATTTAGGGTATCAAGATATTTGAATTCATTTTATTTAAGTTTAATATGTGAGTGTATACTGTATAAGTGAAAAATAAATATTTATAAACTGAGATATTTGAAATAAATTATTCAGGTTGTCTATCAAGTAACGCTTTATCATTTTATTCGAATTATTTTAGAAATATGAAAATACAATTTTGCCTCTACACATAATAATTAAAACAGGCGGCGAAGCCGCCTACATGTTCATGTTCATGTTCTAGTTACAAAAAACAAAATGAGGCTTTCAGTGCCAATTAGATATCCAGTTCGTTTATTGAACAAACTGTCATTCCGAAAAAAAATTACTACAAGCACAATAATTAACCATGAGAACTCTATGGTAATTTTTTTTATTGTCGCATATTATATATAATATATTCATGAAAATCACAATATCTTTAATTTTAAAATTGGTAATTATACTTACAGGGGATTTCTCAAAAAGAGGCTCGGACAAAAAGTCAAATTGACATGGAGGCTCGCATACGTCGTGGATTACCAACCAAAAGGCCAATTCATGGTGTCAAGCATATAATTGCTGTAGCTTCAGGTAAAGGTGGCGTTGGTAAATCCACATTGGCTAGTAAGTACCCTGTTAATTTTTTGGGCTTGTTTGTCTGGTTGAATTATTCATTATTTTTTTTAAATGTAATTAATTTAAAGTGTTAGTGTTTATCTGTTAATTATATTAATTCTTAATAAAAAACAGTAAATCTTGCATTAGCTGTTGCATCTTTTCGTCATCGTGTTGGTGTCCTAGATGCAGATGTATTTGGTCCCTCTATACCTCGTTTATTAAATCTAAAAATGGAACCTCAAATGAACGAAAAAGGTACGTGATTTTAAATAATAATTTCAGTATTCTGTATCTTATATTTAAACAAAATCAACTTTTATTTAAGGAGATTTGATTCCGCTTGTAAACTTTGGAGTAAAAGCAATGTCTATGGGATTCATTATAGGTGAAGATTCGCCAATTGTATGGAGAGGCCTTATGGAAAGTCTTTAATATTATTCTTTTAACAATTCTTGTGTAATTTATATCTATTATATCGTTTTCTTATTTATTTTAAATATATATATATATTACTTAGGTGATGAAAGCACTTCAACAATTGCTTCATCAAGTACAATGGGGTGAACTTGATTTATTAGTAATTGATATGCCTCCTGGAACTGGTGACACACAACTAACAATTAGCCAGCAAGTTGTTTTAGATGGTAACTTTCATAATACTTCATATTACTTGATGTTTTCTGATATTTCATGTATACTTTGATGTTTTTTAGGTGTTGTTATTGTATCTACACCACAAGATATTGCTCTTATAGATGCCAGAAAAGGTGCTAATATGTTTACAAAAGTTGATGTTCCGGTAATGTCTATGACTTCCTTTAAAATTTTGATTGAAATTTTAATATCACAAATGTTATAATTGATAACTTATTCCTTGTTTAATATAAAAAGATTCTTGGGATTGTTCAAAATATGTCAGTTTTTACATGTCCGAATTGTCAGCATAAAGTTCACATATTTGGTCAAAATGGAGTATTAAAGACATCTAAAGAAATGGATTTAGATTATTTAGGCGATATACCATTAGACACTGATATTTGTGAATTATCAGATTTTGGTACACCCGTGGTTGTAACTAAACCTGACAGCTTTAATGCACAGTGTTATAAAGAAGTTGCAAAAAAGATAATGAATAAAATAAATTTAAAGCATTAGTCTTTATTTGTATATAAAGTTTGTTGTTTTTTCTCATAACATAAAATTTAAAAATGCTAGCATCTGACTTTTAATTTACTTTTAAAAAAATCTGACCTGGCCAAGCTATACTTAGCCTAATAAACTAAATATTACACAATTTTTTTTTATGTTTACCGATGCTCGAAATTCTAGAGTTTGTGATCAACCAATGCTCGAAACTCATCGATTCCACTCTCTACACTGGATTAGATTAGAAACAAAAAGTAAGATTTAATAAAGCATTTAAATTAGAGACACATGTTGATCATTTTAAAGAACAGCAGAGATTTTTTTTTATAACATACATATTTGTCAAAGAGGATCAAACAATCCGTAATGATTTTCCATTCTATCTTAATACTGTGGTAGAAAATTTTTAATTGTAACACACCCCAAACAAAACACGTTAATTAAAAATTTCGTATAATGATAATCAATAACAACTTGTTCATGTGTGTATTACAGAAGCTTAAATTGTTTCTTTTAATAAATGAACAGTTGTTATTGAAACGAGTATTATTAAGCCATTTCTAGTGGAACAATGTTTAATTTTACTCGTGTGTAAAAAAAATGTCTAACCAAAATAATTGACGAGATCGATAAATTCAGATTAACATAACAAGCCATTAACCATTGTGTATTATTTACGGTATCTACGAAAGCTGAGGATGGATACAATTTGCATTCTATATAAATAGCAATTCGCGATTATACTGTAGTTGAAAAGGTTGAAGAGCATTAAATGTTAAAAACAAGAACTACCTTTGTATTCTTCATTTTTGTTAATGCGTTTAAATATTGTATATTGATGCATCCAATCCAATTATCGAGGCAACGCATGATTTAATGATTACCATTATGATCCAATGGCCTTAACCATTGATGCTGATAGCGAAAGATTATTAATGCTCATGAATGCAAAAAGCCAAAACGCTTAAATATTTTAGATTTATATTGTTTGCATCTTTGATTCTTTATAGAAAATTACTATTTTTTTAATGATAGTTTTTTTATTATGTATTCTTATCATGTTTACTTTGTATATTTTTGCATGATTATTTTAACGACCATAATGATTCTAAAAATAAAACTCACAAAACTAAAAAAGCATTGGTTTTCTTTAATTATGGCGAGTTAATATGCATAGATTCGCAATGATGCCCACAAAATAACGCGCTTGTTTGGACATGTAAATTAGTCAATTAGAACGATCAGTCTCTAAATAGCATACATGCACGTATTCGAAATAACGCGAGCTGTTGATTTATAACATATTATTAGGCATGTTGGTTTCCGGGTTAATAAGGTCTAGATTTTAAAGATTTTAAAGAATGGTTAGTGACACACTATAAAGGAAACAGTTCGAAAGAGCAGGGTCGATAGTTATTTTTTGTTTAGGTATTTTATTCAATCGTTGCATCCACTATTTGGATTTGAAATTTCGAATACTTCCTACAACTAAAATTTATCACGTAATTCATTTATGATTTATTGCTTAAATGTTGTTATTGATTCGACCTAGCGTATATTTCACTATTATAAAAACCGATCAATAAATTAATGAATAGAGCTGAATAAACCAAAGTAAAGACAGATAGTAGGTTGTGATAAATTTTTAATGTATCTTATTTGATTTTCTATTCGAGGATATAGAAAATATTTGATTATATTATTCGAATTATTCGAATTACACGTATTCGATACATAATTTATGGTGAAAATCACACACGGCTTTAATTAAACATGAAATTTTTTGAACTGCTGTGTTGCAAATATTAATATAAAATATAATAATCTTTTAAAGATCGTTTTTTTTTTTTTTTTTTTTAGCGAAGTGATAAATATTTCTGCATTCAGAAATGCGTACCAGGTTGGTGTGCCACAGTGGTTAGGTAATGAATTAGATTCCCCGAAGAAATACTGAACTCATTGAAGCAGGTAATATCTAGCTTCTGGATTTAACGTTACCGATTCTGAATTCTTTATTTATAGATATTAATAGATAAAGCTGTTGATTTTTTTATTTAAAAATAATAATTCTTTCCATGTGTAAAATGATCAAGTAGAACATCGGATTTTTTAATAAATAAAGAAAGAAAATTAATGATAATGAAAGCACGAAAGAAAAGAAATTCGTTTATTATTTCTATCTATTGCACTAATATGATTTTATATAAAATATATATAATAATAATAAATATGAAATATTTTTTCCCGAAGGACACTACAGACTAATTATTAATTAGTTGATCATTAAACAAAGATTTAATTCAAATACAGTCATTTGGATCCTTTAATAGTTTCTATTTTCCTAATTATATATTCTAAATTTAGGATGCACGAAAGTTTTCAATTTTTGTTGATTTTCGAAATTTATCGAAATAAAAGTGAATTTTTTTGTAGATTGTCAATTTGGTATTACGCTGAATTAATTTCCTGGGAATTTTGGGTTCGAGTCAGCTTTTTTGGGGGACGTCTAAAGCGGAGTAGATTCTTATAATATATTTTATTGAATTAACTTTAGGGTTAGGGTCATCTTACATTAGGGTTTAGATAGTTATATATACAAATAGCCTTCCCGACATTTAACTCACCCAAGGTAGGTTTAGACTGCTGTTTTTCGTCTTTTCAAGTTTTTCGCTTTTCTTTCTGACATTTAATATTTTGAGGCTGACCTGCATTATGATAATCCACGATCGATACAAATCGAGAAATGACACATTCAATTCAGACGCTTCTATTCACAAAAGCTCATTCTACAGTGCCTACTCCTTCACCAGAGAAAAATCTACAATAGATACTCAAAACATGATTTACTGTTCTCAAATTCTTTAGAAATTCTTTTATGAAAACAGTGCTGTAAATTTTAATTCCTGAATTTATGATGACAGCTATAATTATACGATATCTTCAATTTTATAACGTATACCTTGATTAAAGGTTTTTTTTTTTTGTTTTTTTCTAACACCCTTCTAAAGAGGGACGACGGGAGGCGTAATTTAATACTTAAATATTATAATCACATAGAGAATCACTTATATAGTGCTTTTCTTGATCTACAATTGTTGTTCCATTTACTACCAAGAGTTATTTGATTTTTCAGAAATTATATACGCATAACAAAAATTCTATCTTATACGATTTTTAATTTGAAAAATTCTAATAAATTGATTCATCGAAAAGAATTACAACTATAACACGTATATAAAAGTAAAAAATCAATTACAAATCATCTAATGCTGGAAATTGATCTTTTATGCTTGAAAATGACAAATATAAAGATTCTTTACTATTATCATTTTTAATAAAACTATCAGGGACAAGCCAAATAAACTTAACCTTATCATTTTCTATCCCACACAGAGTTGCCCATTTACTTTTCAAAGAATTTTCTCCTTCCATAAAGTTATTTTTGCTTTTTCTATGGCTTGTAGAAGAGCTAATGGTAATCTGAAACGCAAATAATTCCCTATAAATCGTATCCCAGATAAGAAAATCCACTCCAGGATAATTGGATGACAACGGAATGAAGAGGGTATTTAAATTCACATCAAAGCTTTCAATAGGTGTGCTGTTGCCAACAAATTTGATGACTTTGTACATATTAATCATTATATTATATGCAACAGATAGTCTTCTACCGGGTTTCCTATATATATATATATTAAAAAAATATAGCATATTGGTATGTTCTATAATTAATGCATCTGATTTAGGATAAGTAATTTTCACTTACATGATCTTAAATTTTAATGTTTTCATAATATCAAAAAGCGTTGTTATGTATAATTCTGCAAGCCTTTCTTTGGTATCATTTGAGTAGTGATTTGCACTTAGGAAAATAGTTGATACAGTATCTCTAAATTCTTGCAGGGGATGCGTTTTTTGAGAATTGATGATGGCTCGTCTTGCTAGGGGATGTATAGCAACATATGTGTCGATCTTAACGTTCTTCTCTCCTTTACTGTTATAAGTCAAAATGTTCCCTTTATACATGAATTGACGATCTAAGCCAAAATCCACAACTCTAGGGCTAATAAACTCAAGAATCATTGTGACAACACATTCGTCTAAATTTGCTTTTCCTTCTTCAGATAAGCTTTCACGAAAATTTTTATGAGCTAATGCAATTTCCCTTTCGCGTTTTTCCATATATTCTGAGGTTTTAACTTCCAAATTAATCTCAGTTGTCCCACAAATCCAATTCTAAAGGGTAAGAGCCTGTCCAATACCTTACTTTATCCAAATGTAATTTGAGTGGTAGATTCTCATCAATATTATAGTCACATAATTTACACCATTCTCTGAATTCATCATCTCTATAGCTACCATTAAGATTAAAATGTTTCCATGAATTGAACTTTGCTGAAAATGCTTCATTATTAGTAGACGCGGAAACGATAACAAGGCCATTTATACGCAATAAGCTTGGGAGAGTTGTCACTAAATTAAAGGGATACCTCCTAAGAACTTCATATTTGCACAAAGAATTGCACTGATCAAAGATCCAAATCCAATAGTAAGTACTATTTTCAATATACGACATCAATTCAAGAATAAACATCTTGAAGCGTTCTTCACTAAATTTAATTTAATGTATTAATATTTAATGCATTTAAAAAAGGGTATTGGATTTAAATTACGTACATAGTTTAATTTTCACTTAACTTGAACATTTCAACCCATTTGGATTGATCTGTTGTTAATTTATTTAGTTTTTCATCTAAGCTCTCCGTAAAACCTTTAATCACAAACATTGCCCAATCAGCCAAGGTAAGCGGGGACACCTCATCATTACTGAATGTACATATTAGTTCTTTAAGTAAGTAGAGATATTTGCTGTTCATATGATTGTCATACCATTCTTCACAACTGTTGATATATGTTACTCTGGTTTCGTCATTATTTATCCGAAGCAGTGCAGCAAGATAGTATATGTTGTATGACTTTCCCCAACCAGAAGGTCCATGTATATATAGACCTCTAGATTGATTTTCTACTGAGAGTGAATCAACGACTGAATTATAAATTTCGATGAAATTTCTCCTGCACATAAACGATATTCTTCCATCTTCATTTATTTTGAACCGATCTTGAATTTTGTTTTCAGTCAATACTAATTAACTCCAGTTCTTGTAGCTTGACGATAAATTCTTCTCCAATTATTACAAGATCCTTACTAATAAAAAGACTTCTGAGTTCATTATTAAGTTCTTTCGTTTTTTGTACTATTGCATCGAAAAGAGAAATATCTTCGTTTGATAAATCTTTTTTTAGTTCCATATTTTTCAAGTGTACCTACGTACATACGTAGACTAAGAGTAAGTGCGTAAATACGTAAGTACTCCCACAATAAATTGTTTATCCCCACAAAAATTGTTCCCTCCTGGATTTTTGACCAATCAAATTTCAAGATCAGGTGTAATGTAAACAATCGAAACGAAGCCATTTTTTACAAATAAAAGGAAATTTTAACTAAGAAACCACCTTCTGCGGCATAATTAAAAATGTTCCTCGTGAAATGTTACTAATAGAAACTTTATTCTCCTAACACTAAAACACTAATCTTAACCTAACTCAAACTACAGCATTTTATTCTCAGTAAAAAGTACAGGTAGTGATTGGACCCGGGTAGGTGCCACCCGGCTCACCCGCGGGTGGACGGGTAACCCGGGTGGAGTTTTGGCCACCCGGGTGGAAACGGGTGGGTCACCCGACGGGTGACCCATGATCTTTTGCGCAAGACTTTACTAAACTTCAATCCAAATATGCATTTGTATGTATATTAATTGCTTTTTTTTTAAAAAAAAAATAACTATTCAAAAACGGATCTGAGGTAAATTTTTAAACGTTACCATACAACCCATCTTTTTTTATTCAAAAATTTACCATTGATAAAGGACGTTCAAGAATTACTTTTTGCATTTTTTGCGCATCAAGCATAATAAACAATGAATTCTTAGTAAATTTCTGCCCGATCTAAAAAAAATTACTATATTATTTTTGTTGCTAGACTTTTAAACAAACTGTATACCAAAGATATAACTATAACTTAGAAATATATTTGTATATACAGGTATGCATAATAGCGGGACATCTATTTTCATCCGGGTGACTCATGAGTCCACACGACGGGTTGCTTTTTTAACCTACCCGGGTGGCTCATGGATCCACCCACGGGTGACCCGGGTGGCATTTTTTTTGACGGGTCCAATCACTAATGGGGAGTTTTGCGGTAGAAACCATAATTTTAAATAAACACTTTCTGCGACACCTTAACAAACAAATGTAATTCGGCAACACAAATTGTCAACTTCTTCGTTTACAGATTTTATGAATTATCATGGCGCCTTTAGCTTCAAAAGAAATAGATAAATAAGCAAATAAAAAAAATAAATGAATTTTTTTTTGCATGAAAGTTAGAAGATAATAATTGTTGGTAACTTTTGCTCATTGAGTTTCCTGGGATTTTTATTAGCGATAACAGTTTCGAATATAAAAAAAAAAACGCAATAATTTTTGACAATTACAATTTCGTTAAAGATCCATAACATACAAAGTGCTTGAACACCTCTTTTTATACAATATCAATAAGCAGTTTTAGCAAATAGCGATAAGTCTATGAAAAAAAAAAAAGGTCTACATCCCCAGATTTTTTTCAGTGAAGTGACAATTCACTTGATCAATTTTCTCAATTCTTGTCTATTTAAAATTTGTCCAATCAATTGATTTAGCGCTTGAGAACACACTTAGTTGAATAATTCTAATGCTCAGTCAGCACTAATTAAAATTATGCCTAATTTAAAGCTAAGATTAGCAGTAACAATGAAACCTATTTTTATTAATGTTTTGTAGGTTTTGACAAATATTTTCGTTTCGCCAATCTACCTGGCTTTAATGAATCTAAATAAAGGCAAATAATAAAGACAATGACCTCATTCGGTGAAATAAAAATTATACACCATATATGGAAGCACATTAAGCGCCATCTTATCCCTTTGTAATTTCGTGATTTATGTGAGTATCTTTTTATAAAAGGGCTGAATTACGCCATATTTAAGCTTTATGTTCAATACCTAAGTTAGGCAATTTGTATAAAGATTATTATTAATATAATGCAGGCTGATTATTGCTAAATAATAAATTGATCGCGTTTGACAATCAGATTAAATAGTGAGCGAAAGGTTTTATTGAGAAATGTTATGTCAAAAGAGTTTTTTAAGTATTCGACACTTCATACAACATCCCCAAAATAATGTAGTACTGCATTGATAATCGAAAATTGCTAAAAGATGGTACTTTGAATGGGACTCCAGGTGTTTCGAATGATTTAATAATTTAGGACTACCGTTTAGAGAAAAAAAATACAAAAACAATCTAATGTAGGGTAACATTTAATTCAACGCCCAAAACAAATTTGAAACGATACTGTTCATATATATTATATACAGAATACGGAGTTTACATCCTTTAGACGAAACCGAATATATTAATTTTGCAGTGCGAAAACCTCTTATTTTATTTACACTGTAATTACAACATGCTGCCGATTCTGTTCACGCCCAAAAAAATTAAATATCTAATTTAGAGTATTCTTTTATATCAATATATCGGATTAAAATTTAAGTTTAGGGTAGTATTTAAATTTAGGGCTTGCACAGGATCGGAAACAATGAATAATAAATATATGATATGATGTCACATGTAAATTTATGATACAGTATCTCTGTATACATAAAATAAATAATGGTCGCAACATCTGTGTCTTGTATTTGAATATCACAGTAAGAGAAAACATTATACGTAAATAATGTAATCTTTATTATCAGTTATCAATTATCATAGCGTGAAAAAATGAATTGCACAAACTATTCTAACTTTCGAATGGATATGATATCAGAATGTCGTATTAAAGCAATAGTACGTTTGAGAGAGTTTTCCAAACTTCGAGGCGCTCAATACTGTAAAGCATTTTGTGATATAGTTATTAACGATACATTATTAGAAACACACGAAAAGATTTATTTAATATATGACTTGTTGAAAATACGTGACACACAGAATATTATTCATAAAAATGTCGAAGTAAGCCGGAAATGCGAATATTGTAATAATCAAGTTATTGCTGCTCTATATTGTGAGTTTTGTATTCGTAATTATTTAGAAAAGCAATTTAACAAATGGACGTCAGAAAATGAAGAAATTGATAAACTAATTCGAAAATGTCAACATAATGCCGTATCATCATCACATATTATCGAATGGATTCCTTATGAACATTTTGAAAATATTGAATTAGAAACTTCCACTAGCAATTCTGACGTATATATCGCAACGTGGAAAAATGGGCCATTTACAGAATGGGATAATGAACAACGGAAATTAAAGAGAGGCGGCCGAGGTACTTACATCCTTAAAACTTTAAAAATTTCAGAAAAACGGTATAATGAGGTAATGATATGTGGATTTTCATAATAAATAAATATTTATCTTATGATCTTCCGAATTTTTTATTTTTATTTATTTATACATTTATTTATTTTTGTATTTAGATTGAAGCGAGTTTTACTGCTGAATATTTTTATTCTCAAACACACGTAAGATGCTATGGGCTGACTAGAAAACCAGATGCACCGGAGTTTATACTCGTTCTTCATAAAATGGATAGTGATTTACGTAAATTCCTCAAAAAAAATACTGAATTGCATTGGAAAGTTAAGCTGAAAATGGTTCGAAGCATTTTTAATAGTATCAGAAAATTACATAATCAAGACCTTGTGCATAAAGATTTACATTCTGGAAATGTATTAATTGATGAGAATAAATTTCATTGTGTACTTAGTGATTTTGGTTTGTGTGAATCATTAAAAAATTCCGAATCTTGTAATCCATCAGAAGATATTTATGGAGTTCCTTCTTACATTGCTCCTGAAGTATTGAGTAAAAAACCGTATACAAAGAAATCAGATATATATAGCTTAGGGATGATTATGTGGGAAATTTCATCAGGGTTATCGCCATTTCATAATCAAAATCCGGATAACATTTCACTTCCCTTAGAGATAATTAATGGAATGAGACCGAATATCATTAATGGGACTCCAGATGATTATGTGGATTTAATGATCAAATGTTGGGATGAAGATCCGAAAAAAAGGCCTGATGCTGAAACAGTTATGATAAAAATAGAAGATATGCTTAGAGTTATTTATGCAAATGATGATATTATTCAAGAATTAAAACTTATTCCAATTAATTGTAGAAAGTCTACAAGTTGGAGGGTTTTAAAAAGTGTAAATTCAAAAAAAGGGCCTAATATTGAAATTATGAAAATGGAGGATTTACTGAGAAATGCTTACATAAATAATGGTATTATTATTCGCGAATTAGATTTTCATTTAAATAGTTCTGGAAAATATAAAGAGAAATTTTTAAGTATTATAAAAAAATTTAAAAAAGTAAACACGTCAACAAAATTCAAAGGAATTTCCGTGAAAGAATTGTCTCAACTTCCAAAAGAAAATAAACACAGAAACTCTCTTTTACCTTTAAAAAAAGAGAGAAACATTTCTAAAAATACAAAATCAATTTCGGAGCAAGGCAAAAGTATCACTAATGTGGTTGCATATTCACCACCTTCAGTCTTTAAGCACGACAGAAGAACCACCGCTATTAATACGTGCTCTCTTTCAATCTTGGAACGGGACGAAAGTAAAATTACTGCATATCCTTTACCTTCGAAGCAGAAAGAAAACAGCATCGTTGACGATGCATTAATATTGAGGCAGAGCGGATATATCTCGCAAGATCAAAATAGCATTCCTGTTGTGCAAATAGAAACTAGTGTACATTTGCAAATGCAAATTAAACGTAATTCGGCAAATTTGACTACTAAAATTTATTGCATATCTAGTTATCATTAATGTTTTATTCTGCCATTATAGAAAAAATGATTTTGTTAATAAAATCGCTTGTAATAGATTATACAAACGATTAATTAATAATAAAGTCCAAATTTAACCAATCTAAAAATTTAAATTTAAATTATTATTATCGTTATAATTTAAAACATATTAAACCATAATGTTAGTATTGATCAGATGTCAATGATGAGCAATGTTTGTACCAAGAGAAGATCAGTTGATGCTGTTTGTTAGTATTGATCGGATGTCAATAATGAGCAATGTTTATATCAAAAGAAGATCAGTTGATGCTGCTGCTTAATCCTTATTTGTAAACGTGCACAAATTTCAAATGTGCGTTGCAGCTACGCTGAAAAATCGGTTGTATCTGTCGTACTTTAAATTGCCGCACGACTGAACTTAAATCCCCGAAATTGGATTTTACTACATGCGTTAAATAATAATTCTGTCAAATGCAGCTTCAGGTACGGTATATTAGTCTGCTTTCTGTTATTTCAGTATTTGTGTTAATAAAATTTTTAAGATTTAATTGTCAGCATTAAAATAATGCAAGTTATTTTGGGCATTCATACCTTTTTCATTTTATAACCAAACTAGTTAGTTAATAATTATAGCCTTATGAAAAAAGGTTTACGAAATTTTAAATGAACTATACGAAATATTTAGTTAATTCCGTATTACATACGGAATTCACGTATATTATATACGGAATATGCATAAGGAATTAATCCATTTCTTTATGGGTTCCATATCATTTCCCAGAGCATATTCTGTATATAAAATATGGAACTTGTGGCAAATTCGATATATAATGCGGAATTATACTAAATATTCCGTATAATTCATTTAAAATTCTGTAAAACTTTTTTCATAGAGTAACAAAATTGTTCAAAATAAAGCGGTCCTTTTTCAAACTGGACAAAATTTTCTGATCATGCCATGCTACGTTATACCTAATTGTGATGTCGTGCTTGATACATGCCTGAAGTTTCCCGAAGTCGCACTTGACAAAAAGTAGCCCCTGAAATTTGATCATCTTGCACGTAATTTTAACTTCAAATACCTGAAGTTACAACTTCAGGCACGATGTTGTCATCACAGTTTAGGGAAGTTTTGCCAAAAGTTACATTGCATATATGTCTTCTTCAATAATAAAGAATAATTCTTTAAGTTTAATTATACAGACATATTTGCGCAGAAGTTTTTTTCACTATAAAACTCACGGACTTTATTTTTATTTTAACTCCGATGATCAAAAGTCTACCATTCAAGTAGATCCCATTTGTATTCATTACGCCTTGCAGTGAGTTACAAACGTTGTGCACCTTGTCACAATAAATAATGACCTCCGTTGCTTTGTTGTACAACTATTAATATTGGAATGGAGACTATGAAGTATACGTATTAAAATGTTATTACATAAATTTAAATTATGATTGACAATGAAACTAAGGAATTTCACTAAGTTTAATTAGTAAAATGACTACGTTAAAAGAATTATAATTATCAGACTTAACGTTAAATGTACTTAAATATGAATATTAAATTGGAAATCTAAATCATTATAATTTTTATATATTATATGTAAATTATAATGTTGTTACTTTTTGAATATATGCTTAATAAAACATAAACAGTTTAAGGATTCGAAGTTATAAAATACTTCAGGTGAAATAAAATCGGAAAATCCAATAATAAGTTGGAAAAAATTCTTTAATGATCTTCACTATGTAGCACTATGTTTGTGATCAAACCAGTGTACGATACCCCCAATGGGTTGTCATTGTTTGATGGGTTGGTAACCAAGGTAAATTTTTAGTTTTGCCTATAATTAAATACATAAATTTAATAATAAAATCAAGCTACCTTAAAATATGGAGAATAAGCACAGCACCCTCTACCCTATTTTTTTTCAATTTCAGATTAGCGAAAATAGCAATGAAATCTTTAATCAAACTATTACCGTTAGTCTGAAATTGAGAAATCAGGGTAGAGGGTGCTGTGCTTATTTTCCATATTTTACGGTAGTTATAAGGCCATTCTTATGAAAATTCGCTTGTGATCATCGACTGACATGATTTTATTGATTAATATTAAGTCTTTTTTTTTATTTTAATCTAATCATTGAATTGAATTTGAAGCCTCTAACAAATATAGAATTTCGTTACAACGTTTACGCAAAATTCTATTTCAATTCAGTGTTGGCAAAATATGGACGGATCATTGGACATGGACATTTATGGCTATGTTCACATTTTCCATATTTTCTATTGGGCTTAGTCCAAATCAAACACGTGGGTTTACCACTCCGAAATATCCCGGATACAATAAGCCAAAATTAGGGCAAAGTTCCGGAATATTCCATATTTGTCCAAGTTCAAATAAAATTTTTATTGGGCATAGTCCGAATGCCAACACTGAATTCAATGGACGTACGTATATGCTTTGTTTATTTATACGTAGAAATTTTGCGTACATTTAGCACAGTAATTTTGTTTAATATTTGCTGCAATATTCATATGAAGTTAGGGCTGAAAAAAAAACATTTACTGTAACATAATGCAGCAATGCTTTGCATGTACTATTTTTAAATGATCTCTCGTTTTATTACAGATCATTGTAAATACCGAAAAATGTACTTACTAATATAACTCAATAAACGACAAAAAAGGTCTTATATTTTACTAATTTAATTATGCTCTTTATGTTGTTTATTTACTAATGTTTACATTTATTTTATTATTCCTGAAGAACATTAAGGACAGTAAATTTTGTCTGTGTGTTCTCAAATTGACAAAATAAGCTTTATGCTTCGAACATGTCCGTTTTGCTGAAATGATCTGCATTGTATTTCCGAAAGAAGTTAACTTACACAGTACTTATCGTTATACCAGATAACAAGAATGTCGACAAGATATTTTATGAACATTTTATTATAAATATAGTATGGCGAATGTTTGCGATTTATAAAAAATTATAAACAATACAATATATTTACAACCCAATTCTTACGGTATTAGCAAGTAAAATGTAAAAAATGGGAGATGTACATAATTTACGCATTGATATGATATCTGATTGTAGACAGCGGGCTATAGTTAGCAAAGAGCCTGATCTTGATCATTCACAAACCTTTAAATCAATTTGTAATACAGTTATAAATAATCGAATTCTAACAGAACAAGAAAAGGTGTATTTAATAAATGATTTAATTATAATAAGAGATTCACAAAATGTAATTGAAAATATTGGTGAAAAACGACAATGCAAATATTGTAATAATCAAGTCATTGCTTTCCTCTATTGTGAATTTTGTATTCGTAATTATTTGAAAGAGCGTTTTAGTAAATGGAATACAGGAGATGATAAGTTAGATAAATTAATAAGAGTTTGTCAGCTTAACGCTGTATCTCCATCAAATATTATAGAGTGGATTCCATATGAAGAATTTACAGATGTTCAAAAGATAACCAAAGGTGGTTTTTCTATAATATATACTGCAATATGGAAAAAAGGTCCATATAAAATGTGGGATTTCGAACAACAAGAGTTAAAAAGAGGAGATGAAGGCACTTATATTCTTAAAACTTTAGAATCTTTAGAAAAATCATTTAAAGAGGTAAAACTTTATATAACTATATAAATATTTAATATATATATTTATAACTTTACTAAAAGAATTTATTCATTTATTTTTTTATTTTATTTTATTTTATTTTTTAGATTGAAACGAGTATTACTGTTGAACCATTTTATCAATCTCTTGTAAGGTGTTATGGATTAACTAGAGATCCAGAAACCAAAAATTTCATGCTCATTCTTCAGAAAATGGATTTCGATTTAAAACAGTTTCTTTGTAAAAATCCTGAAATAGATTGGAAAATTAAATTTAAAATGGTTCGAAATATTTCTAATAGTGTTAGAAAATTGCATAATAAAGGGAAAATACATAAAGACTTACATTTAAAAAATATCTTAGTAAATAAATATAAGCATCATTGCGTAGTTAGCGATTTTGGTCTTTGCGGTTCATTAGATAATGTTAAAGGAAATGTTTTTTATATTGCACCTGAAGTATTGAGAGGAGAACGATATACGACGAAATCTGACATATATAGTTTGGGAACGATTATGTTGGAAATCTCTGCAGGCAGGCCTATCTCAGAGTTAGAGATTGAAGGAAAAAAACAAGATATAATTAATAGAACTCAATCTGAATATCCTGATTATGCAGATTTGATGAATAAATGCTGGGATGAGAATCCAGGAAACAGACCTGACGCTAAAACAATTATGAACAAAATGGAGGATTTTCTTAGAGAAATTTATAAATTCGATGGTGTCGATCGTGAATTAAAACTTATTCCAATTATTTCTAAACAATCTAGAAAATGGGAATTTTTGAAAAATTACGTAAGGAAAATTATTAGAAAGTGGAGAGTTTTGAAAAATATTATAAAGAGTTTTCAAGTAATAGAACCTTTAACAAGGTCTATTCGTACGGATCCGTCTTTACCTTTGGAACAAGATGAACAAAGCATTTCTGATAATGCATCTTCAATTTCTGAACAAGAAAAAAAGTATTCTGTAGATGGGATTTCTGATCAAGGTCTTTTCTTGGAACCTTTAGTCCCAGAAAATAATGGAAGTCAGCATATCATTCAAAATGAAAATACTTCAGAGGAGGAATCAAATTTAATTAATGACTACTATATATTGCTAAAGTAGATTTATATAGTTTAAATTTTAAATGCTTTAATAAAGTACACATTTACAAATGAATAAAACTTACATCATCAATTATGATTGATTCACGCTCACCAACGTTATGTAAATATGAAATGAAATAGTTCTTAATCACTTCTAGGTTTAGAAACTCATTCTAATAAAATATCAGATCAGTATGTGCTGTACGTCAATGGCAAAGATAACCAGCCAAAACAATATATACATTTCCTATTTTAGTTTAATTTAATAATGACTTTAAACCATTTTTATTGGAGTGTACGTAAAGTATAATGATCATTATATGACCTGCACTATATAATTAAACAGATGCTGTACACCCCAAATTTGTTCAACCGCTTCACAAATATCAAATTATTTATACTGTAAAATTACCTCCCCAACATTTTTTGTTAATGTTCCAAAATGAGTTTAGACTATCGCTTTTATATTTTTCGCATTAGTTACTTGTTTTTACTTCGTCGAATTAATCTATACAGGCCAAATTTGGCGATTTTTGTTATTCGACCTCAAAACGGTATAATTCTGGTCACATTTGCAGCTCATTTGGCCTTTGGAGATTTTAAAACTCATTTCAAGAGCCAAAAAAATTGATTGATTTGGTTTGTTGATTATTGCGTAATCTGCTCGCTTTAGGATCGGTCGAGATATAGTCATGGCGCAGAAAATTGGTGGTGACTAATATTTGCATTACAGCTGTTCTCATAAATTTTGGGACATCTGGTAAAAAATTGACCGAATGATTTTAGGCCGATTCGATAAGTTTAATAAGTTTATGATTTCGGCAGTGATAAACTTCCGATTAGTATATAAAGTGAATATTTTTTAATACATTATGATAGAATTTTGACCGCCACTACAATGTCAACACATTTGAAGTTAGGCTTTGCTTAGTGTGTTTAGTATGTACGAAAATTTATGGCGAAGATTGTTCTTGCCAACCAATCGATCTAAATAAAAAACATAATAAATACATAACACGAGTAGGCGTTAATAAAAAAAAAATCGGTATGATCGAGAATTTATTGACTGGATTAAAAACAAAATAATTCGAGTTATAATTCCAAACAACCAAGATTTTATCAACATTTGTCAAAGCTGCGTTGAGAATTA